TATATATATATATATATTATTGTATTGGTATAATAATTCATTAGCAAGAATATCCTACTAAATAATTCTCGAGCAATCAGACCCTACGCAATCTTCGAATAGATATTTCTCATCATATATCATCCACTAAAATATATGATTCAGGTCCTTGGGAACAACCCTCCTGTATAGGGTATTTCAGTGGGGCCTTCTTAGAATACCTTGTGAGAAGGATTACGGAGCTGATCAAGCCTTGCATGCTCCAAAATGCTTTGCAGGAAGATGCAAGCATTTTCTTGCTCAAGTGCCAGGATCCATGGCGCAGGCGCTCTTTTTGAGCTCCGACCTGGGGGAATGTTCAAGACATGAGCCCGTTTTGAGCACCCATAGGTTTTTAGGCATGTTTTGCTAGGGATTGATAAAGGGACCACATCATTGATAACGTGCTGTTTAAGCTGTCCATCCTCCGTGACCTTGCATGCGATTTGGGGTTTCACGTTTACGGCTCCTAAACCCTAAGCCGTAGGGTGGGTGGCGGGGCCAGAAGGTCCAAGCGTGCTACTCCACTTCTTCAACTCATGGCAAACTGCCTCTGCTTGCTGTGAGGCCATGCATATCTTATTGTTGATAGGGAACAACGGAATATCAGAACATACATCCTATAACATAATCTCTGTAATATGATATTGTCATATATTCCCTTATTCCTTATTAACCCCCAATAAGATTTCCTTTTTATGCTGCAGAAACATGAACCGCGCACGTTGCTCTGTTGCCTTTGGAGGCAGGAGTGCTTCCGCTTACGGCACTCGTTTAAAATCTGCACGCCAAACTTCATGTTTGAACAGTGCCATAACAATTGCGGGCATTGATCAAGATTTCCAGGTACATGGCCAACAAACAGCTCATCCGAAGCTATCAGCGACCTATGCAGTGAGCTTCAAGGGTCTCTGTGCTTTGAGCTTTATCAATCGCTCCAGCCCCTAAACCCTAAACCCNNNNACCCTAAACCCTATATTCCCAAATACAAAGCTGACCAGCCACGGAGCTCGCACACATCCCAGCGGCAGGTCCCAGGATGGGTGCAAAAGGGGCCAAAGCGGTCAAACCAAAAACGAACTGAGTGCCACGATTGGCAGCTGCGGACATTAAAACGCTGAACATCAGCTTCTCCAAGCGTTTCTTCACCTCGTCTGTTCTGCCGTGAGCAAGATCAGGCAGAATCGTCGCGAGGAGGATCACTGCCATAACGGCGTTTTGCGAGCCCACGGCTCTGCTAAACGCTGCCATGGCTGCAGACGCTGCCACCGTCTGAAAGGCAATCTTCAACAACTCCTCAGTGCTGAGCTTACCATCAGCCATGTAGACTGCCACTGCAGGCATTATGAGAATGGCCAACGCAAAACCAGCCTGGATCAACTGATACTCGAGCTCTTCCACTTGGAGCTTTGACTCGTGCAGTATTTCAACGTCATCCGAGAAAAAATTATGGTGCTCTTTAAGATGTGCCTCCTCCTCTGTTGTGGTTTTCTTCGTGCTGCTTATGAAGGTGCCATCCTGCTTCTCTGTATTGATGGTCGTCTCCTTTCGGATGGTTTCTGTCGTCCCACCAACCTTCGCGCCAAAGACCTGTGTTGATTTGTCTGTGGTGTCTTCGGAGGTGAAGGTCTCTGTGGTGGAGTTTCCACAACGGTCAAACGACTGAGTGTCCTTGTGGCTCGTGTAATCATTGTTCGATAGAATCGCAGCTTCACCCTTCACAGAAGCCGCAGCACCGGTCCCTGGGACATGGCACCCAAGTCCAAGAGAGATCTGCTCTACAGTGCCCTCCCTGACTTCCGTCTCGCCGTAGTAATGGCAAATGCTGCCATCCTCACCGTACTCCACCCTGGATGTCTCTGTGCTTCCGGACACGTTGAACTCCTGGTACTTCAACGAAACATCCACGCCATTCACGGTGATCCTGCCTTCCATGAGATGCTCACCCCATCGCACTTGCAGCTGCTCCACACTGAGGTCTTGTGAGTTATTAAACAAGTCTGCGATGGCCGCCACGTCGAACTGCAAGTCTCCAGAAACAACGTTGCCAGCTGCATCGAGATCAACGTGTCCGCTGACAAGGCCCCTTTCTGCTAGATCTTCCGGTGAGCTGAACACGCTGATCCCACCCTCCTTCGACAAATGCCCTGAAACTTTGAGCTTGGTCAAACTCTTGGTGGTAAGGCCGAAGCCATCATCGCTGGACCAGGTTGCTTTGGCAGCCGTCGAATGGTGAAGGTCTACTCCTACCGAGGCATGCCACCCATGGCCTAGCGCCATATCCACTTCTGCTGATCCATCTGACTCCACTAGATCCAGCCCTGCATCTGCAGAAGCAAGGATTTCACTCTTTGAGTCCATGGAAATGCTTACACTGCCATCATCATGGGAATAAGAAACTCCACAATTCCCCGAGCTGTCAGCCGTCGCGGAGACAGACCCGAGCTTGGCTTCAAACTGGAGCATGGCTGGACGTTCATTGCCTGAGGAAAGGTTGGCAGTAGTAAGCGGCTGCTCAAGCGTGGGCAAATATGAGGGAGGTGACTACAAAACAGCAAAATCAGCCGCAACAACAGTTCCTGCTGATGCCATACCCTGCCGCTTAGTCAAGCTCTTTGCGTCGCCTTCCTTGGAACATGCAGGGAGATGTTGCTCCGCAGCTTTCGCAGTGCCACCCCGGGTACCGCTGCTGCTGTTGTTGGGGTTTAGGGTTTAGGGTTTGACCATGGAATTTTCGGAAGGCACGCTACTTTACACGTCCTGCCAAGAAGATTTTCCTGTCGCCATGCGCTGTGAGCAATCAACCTTGTCACGTGACGCAACATCCTCATGGCAATCTGCAACCATTGGCCGGGAACAAGGAGAGCAGGCGCTGGCTACCAACCACAAAGCCCCTCTTCCTCAAGCCATAATGAGAGAAGTCGGGCAGACGGTTGAATAGAAGTTGAGCTAGCTGCAAGCTGCCTTCAAACAGAGAGAAACCCAAGTCTTAAGACGGCAATCAGGTGGCCGTTGCTGAACACTTCCCCCCATATCCTGAAGGGGAAATTCCCAAAATGCCCCGCATGCTGCAGATTTGTTTCTGAAAAACGCTTCATTGAAATTTGAATCTTCCAGTGGCAACATGCAATTTGCATCCAGGCACCAGCCAAGCCTATAGCATAAGATCGAGAATGCGCACTTACAAGGTGTACCTCACCTCGCATGGGATTTTCACCATGTCAACGAACAAGAACCCGAAATCTACCAGTGTCAACGCTGCTTAAAACTCCGGCACCTTACAAACCCGACGTGCCGATGCACTAAGATCTGGAGCTCCAAGCAGCTACTGGGGAGGTCAAGTGGGCCCCTCTTTGATGCCGACCCCTACACTGGCATGCTGCTAAGGCACGTAAACTTTCATAAAAAGGAAACAGTCTCATTTAAGTCATGCCCATATTATGGTAACTTAGCTTACGTTCCGTAACAGCAGCCAAGTAAACCCCCAAAACTCTGAAAACATAGAAAAGCCGGAGCGCCAACTAGCCAATCTCGAGCTGATGCTTGTTGTGTGACACCTGACCCAGGACTTGCCAACACAAAGGGCACCGCTGAATGTTTGGTGGGATCGGTGTTGGTTAGTGGTGGCAGTTGGCGTTTGGCATGACGCTGGCGGTGAACTTGGCGGAGGCGGTGGTGGTTGCAAGGGTATTGATAGCAGCGGCTGCAGCACGGCGGGGGCGGTGGCGGTGGCGGAAGGTGCGCCGGCGGGTAGTGGTAGTGGTGGTGGTGGT